GTCAGGAGTGAGTCCTTGCCCAGGGCCTGGGAACTTGAACTGTGGACCCAAGGGGATAGGTGGGCGAGGGAGGACTGAGGACAACCACAAGAGCTGTTCTGGAGCGGGTACGTCACAGCTGGACTTTGAAGGAGAGGGAGGGGTACGTAGAAATGTTTGGGTGAAGGCAGGGAGGTTGAGAGAAGGAGAGCATGTGCAGCAGTCAGTAGAAGTGAGATAGTAGAGGTAGGCAGGGGCTGGATCTCAAGCACACCGAAAAGTCAGGCAAAGGGTATGAATTTATTATGAGGTTTCCAGGGAGCCATCGAGCTTATGCTGGACATGGTCAAAGCTGAGCCCTGTGGAGAACTGACTGTCGTGTAGACACTAGATGGAGTTCACTTTGTATTCAAGAGTCTATGGTGGGGGCTGGGCCATGGACCAGGTGGAATCTGATAACATCTGAGCTGTGTGCACAGTTTTGGGAAGGACAAGGGGCAGGAAGGGATACTGGGCAGGAGATAGAGAGGAGGAGGGGCACGATGTCCAAGCTGTACTATGCTCAGGCTGCCTAGTGACATGTAGGCTGCTAACAGAGGTGGATGCAGGCAGAGAAGAGGGTTTGGAGAGCCAAGTCTCATGGCTGATGCCCTCTGTGTATCTGTGGGGCCGTCTGTTTCTGGAGACTCAGTTTCCTGATAGGAGGTAGATCCTGCCTGCTGGTGGGAAATGCTCCTGGGCATTCAGGTGTGTTGAGCTGTTTCCTCCGCATTCCCTCATCCTGCAGGAAGCCCAGTGAATACATTGCCGCCATCCTGGAGCTCAGTGCCCTTATACAAAAAAGAAGCCGGGACATCCTCTCGTACATGGACTTCCTGTACTATGTTACCCGCGATGGACAGCGCTTCCGTCAGGCCTGCCGCCTGGTGCACGACTTCACAGATGCCGTCATCCAGGAGAGACGCCGCACCCTGCCCAGTCAGGGTCTTGATGACTTCCTCAAGGCCAAAGCCAAGACCAAGACTTTGGACTTCATTGATGTGCTCCTGCTGAGCAAGGTGGGCTTCCTGAGATCTGAACTCAAGAGATAGAATGGGGAGTTTCATGTCAAATGTCAAATCCAAGAACTTGGACTTGACCCAGTGGGCTCTGGGGAGCATGGAAATTATTTGAGTCAGGAAGAGAGCAGTCAGAGATAGGTTTTGGGGAGGAGTCTGTGAAGGGCAGCCAGCAGGGGACTGCTACGTCTGAAACTATGCTGAGCCTCAGATTTTACTTCGTTTACAGGTTATTATGTTAGTCTGCCACATTGTTATGTGTATCCATGTAGCTGTGTCTCTGTCTACGTCTGTATCTAAGCTGACAGATGTGCCTGACCCCTGAATCAGAGCAGCCTATTTATTATTCACAGCAATGGCAGCAG